CAGCCCGTGTCAGCCCAGCAAACTCCAGGCTAGCTACATACAAACAGGGTTTTCTCTTACAGGCAAGACAGCTGATTAGTCAAAAGGGACAGAGCCCAGTTCTGTTGAAAGACCACCCCATCCCGCAACATACTATGAAAAATAAATTTAGCAGCAAAAGCCAGTTGATACAAGATCCATATTTAGAGCGCACATAAGTGGAAATACCTCATCTTCAGAAGTTTTGACTTGCAAGGATCTTTTTTAACTGATAATTAATGAAGGCAAAGTGAAAGGGAAGTACATACAGAGAATCACTGTAAGTAATACATGTACAGAAGAATTAGTTTGCAATCTGAAAGCCCTCATATTGGGAAGGGAAGATGGAAACAACTTAGCTCAAGTTTTCCTCAAATCAGATGCCAGAGGAAGTTATATGATGAGTTATATGATGAGTTATAGGGAAAATAAGAAATCTTGATTCGACAAAACCTGAAAAAAACCTATACATTAATGCAGATACGAACAGTTTGCAGCCTCACTGTGCGTGTGTAAAAGAATTAAGTTGCCAAATTATTTGTATGAATTTCAATGTTAAAAGAGAGTTTGTGAACATGTATTTACATTTAAAACACTCCCTATATTGTTACATTACTCCCTGAGAACTCGGAATTAGCTAGCTACCAGAAGTAATACAGTTTTAAAGACATAAACAGAGAGGAACGAGCATGGTGTATTACTTCTCTCCACGAACAATCCGTTATCAATGTAGAAATACCAACACGTGTACTCTAATAAATCTAGTACAAGATACGTTAAACTAATGACCACTAACAAAATAAGCTACATCACTCTAAGTATTGTAGCATTCTAAACATTTGTTGAAAATATGTAAGCAGACCTTGAAGAACAGATTGGAGCCCACTTATCCTCACCCAAACGTGAGCATCATAAACTGCGGTCAACAGTGACATACCCCTGCTGCACCCTTACCCTGTTAACTTTTAATCACGTTGTGCACTGCGGAACAGCTTCCACTGGAGAGGGTAGGAGCATCCCCCATCAATCCATAAGCCCGAACTGCTTTCATCCTTTTATTTAGATCACTATCCCCTAAGGTGGGCAATACGATTTGAAATCCTCTTGGACAGAAAGTGAACTGAGCACAGCTCTCCCAGAGCTTGGGTAAGTCCTCCTGCTAGGCCTCTGCACAGCAGGGAGGCCATACCAGCACCACCTGTTTTGCTGTTTTTAAACAAACATGGCAGCTGCCACTAGACTGTGCGGTGAGCCCGAGCACTCCACACACCTACGGGATCAGCGTTCAACTGCTGGAGCACAACCCTGAGGAGAACACCCTGGTTGCGGACAGCAAATCCGGCACCGAGCTGCTCAATTCTGCCCAGGCTGAGTAAGTGACCAGGGAAAACTTGGATCCTACCAGGACTACTCAGCAGCTACTAAATTTTAGAAGTATCATAGTTATAGGATTAGGGAATTAATTCCACTTATGTTCCTGGGGAAAAAAGAAAAAAAAAAAACACAAGGAGATATATATAAAACAAATTCTAAGGGCTTAGTACTTGCCTAGTGTCCTCCTTCTTTCTCCTTCCCACGCAAATATGAGTACTGCTAGATGACATTCAGCACCTACAGTAAATCATTTCTTGATGTCATTAAAAGGACAGATACATCTGCTAGGACCAGACCCATGTAATTACTTTCAACTCAGTTTTAAGAAAACTGACAGTAACCAAGCTCCCCTTTTCACTTGAATTTCACTAGGCCAATACTAAAGCCGTTCAAATTACTTGCTCACACAGATCTCAGGGGCAATCTTAATGGACAAACGCCATTTATCCGAGCTGTGACAGTGTCCCTAGCTTGCAGCTGAAGGAAACGCAGTCGCTTTCCCTCCCCTCTTCAGGTCCGCTCTCCCACCGAGGCATCTCCCCCTCCGCACGGATTACTGTAATGCGCCGTAGCTGCCGTCCTGCAGCTCTAACTTCCCACAGAGCTCCTCGACCACGGCAAGCAAACTCGGGACGGCTCACCACGCAAGGGAGCTGCACGTCAGGAGCCCTACAAAAACCAGCAGGAGCTGCTGGGGAG